TCATTCTTTTCGAATGGTTTTTGACCTTTTTCTGACATTTCCAAAACCGTTTAGCAAAAATGAACCCCATCGCTATGGTCCTCGCATGGACCCCTACAACATGCAACAAACCGTTTTGAAAAAGCTCACCACGGCCTGAACGACCTCCCTTGTCCAGTTATTCTGTCCTCGTATGTGCCTCTACAGTACCCACAAAACCATTTTGAAATAGCTCACCACGCCCTGAACGACCTCCCTTACTAGACCTCGTTGTCTACGACTCGCAATCACGACATTCGCCTCTGAGTAGCGCCTGCCCAGAACTGAAGTCGAACAAGTAGCGCTCTCCCAAGAGCCTCAGTCGTTTTGCCCTCGATCCTTTAGCAGGCCTATTTGTCTCACATTTGGGCGCGAGTCATGATGTTTTGTTTTTTTTTCAGTATTTCAAAATTTTTTATTCTAGATCTTAACGAGGGTGCCTTCATGGTCACTTTTCCTGCTCCAATACATGAGTCCGATTCCTTTTGTTGCCAATATGTTCTTCCTTGAGATGTATTTTGATGGCGAAACAACTCTAAATGTCGTAATCAGTCGTTCCGCTTTAGAGGTGAGTAACCATAGAATTGTTATATGGAAACTTAATAAAACATGGAAAAAAGGGCACAGTCTTACAAAGTATAGAAACTCGGTAAGATGAGGTGGCAAATGATCAGTTGCGGCACTGCATGGAAACTAAAACACCACACGATGATTCGTGTTCGCTACGGTCTATGTTGGATGTGTCGCGCACGCGGTTTCACCTGCCGCGGCGCCATAATTCGGATCTCCTGACCCATCTAAGGCTGAACGGTGAATGACAGGTGGATTTGCGGGGACTGCGCGCCTAATACATCGAGTGTGCTTTGAAATCTACCCTAGTTGTCCAGCACGTTCCACGGCATACCCTAGGGATTGATCTCCCTAATTAACCAGTTGAATAATTATTTACTTATTTATTGGTTATTTATTTACTTTTTTGCTTTACTTATTTATTTAGTTCTTCATTTAGCCATTATTATATTTTTATTATTATTTACCAACTTTTGGTTGTTCACTAAATTAATTATTTTATTAGAATAAGAATAGAAGCAATCGCTTGGAAGAAAGGGGCTTAATCAGCTTCATCCAGAGATCAACCTAATCAGGCCCATTCAGATCATGAGATGCTAATTGCTCCTGGAATAACTGACGTAGGCGGAGGCCAACAATCACTTGTCCGTCACTGCTTTACCATTAAATCTCAAAATGAAATCTCACTGAACCCACTTCAGCTCGGGCGTGATGAGGCTGACCTTTCTATGGAATCTGACAGTTACCTTGCCGCGTCACCCAAGGGCAATGTACAGGGTGTAGTGACATTGCAGCATTTGATGTTGACATTGATTGTCAACGTGACACCGATTTTTGGCAATAGTACCTCTTTTTTACACAACAATAGACTGCCAAATAGCTGAAGAACTATGATATGGCCCACTTAAACTCATCTTTACCTT